AATAAAATTTAGTTTAAAAATACACACTAAGCAAATTGAATTGTGAAATTTGCCTGTAATCAATTCAGGAGTTTTTGTAGGCATAATTTTACTTGAATTGGAAGCTATCTTATTGATCATAAGAGAAATTCCTCCACTGATCATATCCTGTTAGGTGAGTAAATGAGGCCCAGGCTCCGTTTAATCCCCTCTTTAAATTATATATAGTATTTATGATGGCAGACCTGAGAGCACCTTGGCAGTGAAGGCTTGTTCTAGGTAGAGTTTGGAAGAAACAGACTAGCATGGGTTTTCTTCTCTTAGAAATGATCCTTTATCCACTTTCATTATTGTATACTTCTGCTTCATGGAACTATAGTTTAGGTTGCTTATCTTTTAAAGTATCCATGGGTTTGTATGTTAATTTAACAAATACTGAGTGCAAATGATGCTTTAAGTGTTACACACATAAAATAGTCAACTTAAGCTGAACTTATACTTGAATTCTCTGTATATTTCTTACAGTCACATTCTAGAGGAATTCTTCAGGGGTTCATTTCAAAGAATTTTCTTTCCAAAATATGGAGACTTTAAATATATACGATATTAATGCTGCCAGCTTCAAAGAAACACCTGTTTTCCATATACTGCCTGATCATTTATTGCTGTCAGGCTACAATAAAGGTCATAGGACTTGATAAAAGGATAAAGCAAACCTTGAAAGGGAATCAAGTTGACATTATAAATGAAATGTAAACTCAACTTCATTCTCACTAGAAATGTTACCAATGGTTACAAAAATAATACATTATATTAAGAAAAGCCTGTTTGTTTTTTGTTTTTTGTTTTTTGTTTTTTTTTTTTTTGTTTTTGGTTTTGGTTTTTCGAGACAGGGTTTCTCTGTGGTTTTGGAGCCTGTCCTAGAACTAGCTCTTGTAGACCAGGCTGGCCTCGAACTCACAGAGATCCGCCTGCCTCTGTCTCCCGAGTGCTGGGATTAAAGGCGTGCGCCACCACCGCCAGGCAAGCCTGTTTTTTTTTTTAAATAGACCTTAAGCCCATTTAGTTGTCACACACACACACACACACACACACACACACACACACACACGCAACTTACCGATTTGTATTCTTCTATGTGGTAATCGCAATACAAATATGTAAAATGTAAAATACGAATGTGTGTAGATGGGAATTCACAAGAGAAATTAGGTAGTTACCCTCCAATAGTATCTAACGCTACTGATCCTCATTTTCCGACATAGGGTTAAACACAGGGAAAGACGTCTTTAGAAAAATTATAAAAGAGATTGCTCATAAGTAGTTCAAAAATAAGACAAGAAAGTTAAAGGATCTGATTATTCAACTGGGCGAATCTCTAATGGAAAGGTACCTTTAAACTGTCTTTAGGTTTATGATACGCTTCTACAGAGAGAACAGAGGGCAGGTGTTTGAGACTCCCACAGGGGGTGATGGGCTCAGACTCTCACAGGCTGGATTCCCTTTATGTGTGAAAAGTGTCCTAACTGTGAGGCTCATTAAACCTTTCAATGAGCTCTGAGTAGGCGACTGATCTCAGCTTCTAGAAAATTTTTAGTGCAATGGGGTCTCACTCATTGGAGATATTTGAAGGTTGCTTTTTCTCTTTCTCTTTCTTTCTTTTTTTTTTAGCTACAGAAAGATTAGACTACTTCACAACTATCATAGTATAATTTGTTTTTTAAAGGTACTTTGGTTTGTATTGTGATAAGGCATAAGATTCATCTGTGTTTTTAGCTATACGAGTGTTGAAATGTGAGCATTTGACTTATAAATCATCGCTTTCATATAAAACATTCTTATTTTCTGTTGGGCAACTAAACAGCGCAAGTACTCTATTGGTCATGATAGTTTTACTAATACATAATAGCACGCATGTGACAGTCGTTCTTCTTAATGCATTTCTTAATCGGTTTAGTAAATTAAACCTTAATTCATCTAAATTCTTTAATTTTCTCCAGAATTTAAAATTAGGGTTTGCAAACCACAAAAGGAAATAGGGCTATATAGAACATAAAGAAAAATACAAACTGGTGCACATCTCATTAAAAACTACTTTCTAAATCGTAACAGTAGAAACTTGAATATACGTTCTCTGGAATGCTTTTTCATCTCTATTTTAGATGTCAAGATAAGTGTGAAAAATGTACCATTTCTATGAGTCACTAAGAAAAATAAAAATGCAGCTAAAACATATAAAAGAAGCGCCAACAGTTCCTTAATACTTTTGATCACAGTGCAAAAAATGCGTTTATCCAATGTCAGGCAACTGATTCAATGCACATATTGATGGATAATTTTTTAAATGCTTCTGAGAAGTGAAAAGCTAGAGCAGAAATTCCCCAAGGAAGTTTTGCTCACTTTGTGTACCTACAGAAGACACCAAAAAGCTAAGGACATCAACGTATATGATGATTTTGTACTATCCTGAAATTACACCCACAAAGGTAGTTGTATCACTTTCACAACCGGTATGGCCATTGTCACTAACACTGGATATGGAATGCGATTGATTTTCTTAAAATACCATCTTATTAGCACTTCACCAATGCAATTGTCCTTAAACGATGACCATTCAAGGTTAAGCTCATCTCCTAAATGTGTAGAAATGAACTGAGTGTGGCTATATCTTCAAAAACCGTCAACAGAATTTCTTCTTGACCTTCCCCAATATGATCGTTCATTGAAGATTTGGATATTTCAATCAACGAGTGTGTAAGAGAAGTTAAAAATAATAAAAAGGAAAATATACAGAGAACAGCTGAAGCACAGAGTGATTTCAATTATAAAGAACGTGTTAACAACTCAGACACCATCCAAACCTATCTCTAAAGCTTAGTTTATTATTTATTTACAGTTTTAAAATTGTGTTTGCTAATCCTATCATATGCACAATGTATTTATCTTATATTTTGAACATAGATGATCTATTCCACTAACTATCTTACCAGTGATATTTTATCTTAATAATAAATGATATCTTACTAATCAAAGAGATATATATTATATAGATATATATCAATGTGAGAACAGAATGCTTTCACTTCTGCACTAATGTAAGAAGGATTTTTTCTTAAAATGAATTTTTTGAATATTGAGATTAATAGTACCACTGAGTTATTGAGTTCCTTTTGTCTTTAAACTCCAAGAATAAAAATTCTTGCTAGTGGGGGATAGAAGGAAGGAGGCAGGGAGAGAGAGAAAGAGAGAAAGAACTGCAGTGGGAATCATTCTATCTTATTCTGAGAAATTTAATAACAGTTTTGAAGTCAGAATATTTTTTTGGTATAGGTGGGAAAGTAAAAGTTTTTGTCAGAGTTCTGGATAATATATCCAGGTGGGAAACAGCGATTTCTTATCACTGTAGTGATTTGCTCAAATTCACTGTGTGGATTGAATTTCTCAGCTGTACAAGTCTAAGCTGCTAAATGATTTTCAGTTGTGATCATTATAAAGAAACCATATTATAATAACTTACATTCCCAAGTATCACAAAATAGGATTTTTACATCAAGAAAACAACAAAATGGGATTGAAATTTATCAGATGTAAAGACCCATTTATTTCTATTTGCTTAGGGAACACTCTTTATGACATGACCACACATGTAATAATAACCACGTTGTGGTCCAATGTTACATGTACTATATTGTATCATGAGATATAGGAAATCACTGTATCCTCATATTAAAAAAGCAAAGTTTTTGGCAACTTACAGATTTGTCTCTGTGCAGTATGTACTTCTCTTCACTTTAGATCTAATTTCTGTCCACAGGAGCGTCTGGTATTTACAGTTCCAGCTGGCATGTGTGTTGACTGTTGACAAGGTGCAAACGGCTTTACTGATCAGAAACTAAGTTTTTGTGGAAGGCTATGCATAAGAATCAGGGCAAAGGAACTGGAAAATAGACCATCTTCTTGAAAGTAGTAGAAATATCAGAGAAGAACTAAAGTGATAGACATAGCAAACAATGTTTAAAAGAAAAAAGTTTCAACAGACTAAAATAATTCCATTACATTATAAACATAATCCTTAGTTTCTAATGATACATGCATATATATACATACATATATATGCTTAATTTTATTTCAGTTGAATATTTTTAGCATTCGGTACATGTTTTTAACTATCCTTTTCCAGATTAGATGCTGATACAAGGGATATAATTTCTGTTCATTTTCTTTCAAGGTCAAGTATCTGACAGTTACTTAAGAAGGAGAATAAATATCTTTTAACACTACTACTAAGTAAAATACATGACACCATAAATCTTTACAACTAAATCTTGGTACTGTTCTTTTTAACTCATATTTTACAGGACTTGAAATATGAGATAATATATGTTAACTCACTTTTCTATTAGCATTCTTATGAGAAAAACTGACTCTTATTAAGAGCAAAGTAGATTCAAAATAATATACCACAGAAGGATTTTAGATAAATATATCCAGAGAGCTTTTATGTAATGTTAAAAATAAGACAAAATAAAACTACAGTTTATGAGTCATCTTTGAAGTTTTGAACACCATAAATATTTTCCTACACTTTTGGATTAAAATATGAATAATTTTAAAGTTTATCAAAGTAAATCTATTCATAAAATTATTTATAGTTTTTTCTAAAAAAGATTAGTTCTAGCAACATAATGTTTATACATTTATTTTATTTTTTCTAACCTCTGATTACACAAACAGTGAAGCAGGAATTGTTCCACAGATAATCAAAAGTAAATCTTTGTAAAACTTGTGATTTCTCTGTTAAACGTGTAGCTCCCGTCCACAGTGGATTTTTAAAATGTCAAGACTGTAAATTTCACCATGCCAAGCAACTGAATGCTGCGGCAGCGGTTTGGCACGTCCTGGGTCCAGCACGGGGTTAACCCCGAGTTTCCTCTTGTATAATCTCGTATGCGGTATTGTGCAGTTCTGAACTCCAAACATCAACCACCTTTTCTTAGAGTATTTTTCTTTCTTTTTCACAGCACGGAAAAGGATATGCTAGTCAATTCTGCCGCTTTACCCGAAGCAGTATGATTTGCACAGAGTCGACCAACAAAAGCATCAACTTTTCAACTTCATTATCTTGGCCATCCCGTTAGTTGTGTGTAGCTGAGTGTTAGCTTTCCAGCGGAGTCACCGTGGCCACGTGTAGGACCTAATTGCTCTCAGCAGGCCTGAGAAATGAGTTGAAATGTGCAGACTGTAGAAACTCCATAGGCAACCGGCGTTGCCTCTCCGATCAGTGTGTGCCTGTTTACAGCACTATCTATCCTTCTCTCTCCAAATGTCACTGAGCCCTTTAGATGTTTATATTCACCATGAGAAGCCAGTCATCAAGATAAAGAGATTCGTGCATTACAAATGCAATATCACTGTTTTAAACTTGACTGTTTTATATTATTTTTGTGTGACCACGTGTTCCCCCAAACTCTCCCAACTTTACAAGAGAGATGTGACTATGTTCTTTTCATCTGTGGGGTATTAAAAAATGTTGTATTCTAAAGACCCACAAAATATCAAAGACATTCTGTAGTTTATACACCGTGTTGCAAAGTGTTTACTGTACTATTTCAAAGCTTCTAAATAAATATAAAATATATATTATATTATATAATTTTCCTAAGATGTGGTACAAATTAGTTGGTTTTTAAATGAGTTCATACAGCCCTCACCATAAAATAAAATAAAAGGTAATTCAGGGTCCCTAAGATTAGCTGTGAGAAAAAAAAATATCAATAGTTTGTCCTAATTTTCATACCTTACTCAGCCCTGCATTTTTCTTTCTTTAAAAGAAAGTGAAGTTTTCAGTTGCAAAATTTTGTCAAGAACTCATTGTGACTTTTCAATGCCAAAGATGTAGCTGTTAACACTGTCAGGCGGAGCACAGAAGATGTAGTTTCCAAACATCACGCAGTCTACATGATTCCGATTCTATTTCCATGGCTTTGGATTTAGCATAATTTAAGGCTTTTATAAACAAACTATAAATTCTCTTGTATTTGTTGTTAGGAAAAATCTGGGTGTCTGTACATTTTGTGGTGTAAAATATGTAACTGAAGATTACTATTTTAAGACGTTCTCATCATATAATTCACATAGAATTTTATTTTACATAGTTTTACATAGTTTTGTGACTCTTAAGTAAACATGAATAAAAATCTATAACTCTATATATGGATATATAGAGGTATATAAATATAAATATCAGAGCTGGTACGTCTTAACAATAAAATATAAAAAAAACTCTCTAAATTTAAAAAAGTTAAATAAATTTGGAGATAGAAACATGACACATTGCTGTTTCAATATTATGTGTGACAATTTAAAGCTTAAATGTAGTCAGTGTTTTATTAACGAGAGTATTCTTCGTTGGTCAGCCTTGAAAAATTAATTTTGCTTTTTACCTTCATGTCAACAAGGTTAATTATTAAATTCAGAAAGATGTATTTTCCTTTAGTTCACATATTTTTTTTTCTGCTGTTGTCTGTTGTTTATTGAAACAGGGGAGGGAGAAGAATCAGAATGTGAGAGACTCGTCTAAGTAAATCATGGAAGGTATTTAAGTACCCTCTAAAAAAATGCGAGAAGGATATCAAGATATTTCCTCAGCCCAAATTATAGGCACATTTCAAAATGTTAAGTTTTGTTTCCATCCAGTTCTATACTATACTCACTGGTAATTTGAGTTGCACAATGATTAAGGGATAGACTAAAATCAATTAACAAATGAGTTTCATCTAATTTTATATGATTTAAAATTAATTTTTAATTAAGGTTTATCATTAAAATACATTCATGCAGTCATCGGCCCTTCAGATATTTGTTTAGAGTGACATCCAGTATCATTCTTTTGATGATGTCAAAACACATAATAATTTGTAATAATGCCAATTAGCTCATAGCAACATAATGTAAACATATTCCTCTCTCTGGGGACCATTTAAAAAGGAAACCAGTTGTTCATGTGTGATACAAAAGCAGACACACTCACTGGGTGCAGTAGCAGTCTTTACTCAAAAGCAAGGCCTGCAACATGATAGACTATATCAGTAAGAAAATGTTATATATAATTGAACCGAGGGAAAGGTTAGTTTTTCTAATTGCTTTTAAATCAAGAAAATCGCTTTCTTGATGAATCACTTAGCATTAATTAAAACCATTTTTGCTTCAATTTGCAATCATGGGTTAAGATCCACATACATCATTTTATGCTCACTTCACATATAATGGTTGTACTAATTCATTTGAATTAAAATGTTTTTGAATCTCTTTTATATCATATTCAATATTTCTCGAACCTCCTTTTCTGACCTGTAGTCATTGTTAGTTATTTTTATATATTAGAACAACTCTCTAGAGTAACATGCATTGTACACAAATTGTGTCATCATTCTACCAAAACATACATAATTTGATGAACCAAATTATTTAAACATGCAATATTAAATGCTAGTATCATTTATCTATCATTACATGCAGGATAAATCAGAAGCTACAATGGGACATAATATCAGAGAGTTGTCCAAAATATTATGTTTCAATGACAGAGTATTTAAAAAGAACAGTGAAACAAGAAAGTAATGAAATCCTAGAAGAAGCTCCGAACCCACCAAGGAGAGTTAGCCTAGCTTTTCCATTTAATCTGATCATTTTAACATTGACTCTGCCATTATTGTGCTCATGTTCAAGGGAAACAATATTATTAGACAGTGTTCCATCCATAAGACACTTCCAATTACAAAATGGACCTTACTCTTTAGTCTCCTTAGTTTAGAGCAGTAAAACAATAATTTTCCTGTGGAAAGAGTGTCGTATGGTTTCAATGGTATGTCAAATGACAATTTTTAGGAATATTTCATCCACATGTAAGATCATAATTTTAATCTGTGAGCATAATATTGTAAAATCACCTCAACTCAAGTATATAAATATTGCATCATAATTAATTCAAAGATATAGCAATGTTAGTTAAATACATGTGTCATTCTTTTTAGGTAATATATATTTCATTTTAGGAAAACATGAAATGCAATGCCTTTATCGAATATTGTGTGTTAGAAATTATGTAGGAGCTATAAATATTTTCATTATCCATTCTCTTTTGTTTCTTAGTTTTGCTATAACTTGTCCTCAGATGCTTTGAAATATTGAAGTTCATTTACTTTTCCATGGGGGAAGAAACATATCCCCTAGAGTTTTTGACACAATCTGTCACAAGTAGGCACTGATATGACTGTAGAATCTTGTGAAGTTGTGTATGGCGTTCAGTTAATCAAACTGAATGTAATGAATATTTGCCAAGATAAAAAGGTCTTTATGGTATTGAAAGATACTGACATTGTTTCTGTCATTGTGTTTAGTTTTTCCCTCATATATCTATGTGTGGCATAAATACCCATAGAACTCCCAATACTTTAATATTGGTATACTCGATTAATTGCTGGAATCATTTATTTTTTCATACTGTATCTTTCTGTGTCCTTAATTTTTTTTCCAGTCTAATTTTGTAGTGGTAAAGGCTTTGCATTAGCATCCTTTTTATGTTCCCTTTTTAAACAAGGAAAACCAGGAAATTGCTAAATTCAATATTTTTTACATCCTGAAGTAGTAAAGTTATTTTGTATATTGTTAGTACTTCAAGAAATAGCCCTCTGAGAAGTCAGACAAAACCCTTATACAGTAATCTGTGAAACTGTTCAGTAGAAAAATTTTTCTGCTAACACTTGGCTTAGGTTTTAGATTTTAGCATTCTGTCAGAATGCTGGTAGCTGTGTGCCGCCAGAGTATAGCAGGCAATAATATGACTTTGATTCTAATACTTTCAGTGTGCATGCATGTATTTCTAATCACTGTTTTTTAAGTATTTGTAAAATTAGAAAAAAAATTATTTCTTGAACGCTCGTCAGATGCTTAGTTTGAAGTTTTTCTTTCCAGATGTTTTTGAGGGGTGTGAAAATGCTGCATTCTGAATGCAGAAAACATTACATTTTCACATGCAACTTAAAAATTTATGGAGTACAGAACTCGCACTTCCTAAACATCCGCACGTCCTTGAGCTGAATGGCAGGGAGCTTCAGCTCAGCGAACGAATCCAAGACAATTATCTGTGAGTGAATACAGGGTATTATAACAGATGAGTTTCAGTCTTAACTGCAGTGTTGTTACTGTGAATGCTATAACCATACATAAGTAAAATGCGTGTAAATGTAATATATTATTTTATACTGCTGTATACATCCAAAATAAATAAAACTAGGATACATATCACGCCATCTTTCCATGCATGGATCTTCCACTGACGTCACTGGGAGCTTTGAATAAAACCATCAGCGGAAAACTGCAACCCTCTGTGAAAACGAATGATGCTGACTTAGTAATTTTAGATTTAATATCAAAGGTCTAAGGGACATCTGCTCAAAATCGTGTCTCCCTTGAAACAGCATATGCTAGACTTTGAAGAATTTTGTCATATTTACACACTGAGAATAGGCATTCAATTCAACGTGAATCTCAGTATTAACCCCAAAGTTATTTAAGTTTACATTTTTTTCTAATTAGTACTGGATTATTTTAATTTAAAACTTTTGAAATAGCCGGGCGGTGGTGACGCACGCCTTTAATCCCAGCACTCGGGAAACAGAGACAGGAGGATCTCTGTGAGTTCGAGGCCTGCCTGGTCTACAAGAGCTAGTTCCAGGACAGGAACCAAAAAGCTATGGAGAAACCCTGTCTCGAAAATCAAAACAAACAAACAAACAAACAAAAAAAAAAAAAAACAAAAAAACACAAACTTTTGAAACGTTATCGTGTTCACAAAAATTAACATATAAATTGTACAAAATATGGGTGTCTGCAAGCAATAAAACAAAGACTGTATTTAAAATTAGAGTAACCTATTACATCATAAAGTTCATGGAAACACAAGAAAAACATTATATCTATATCATTTTCAGACACCAACGTGTGAATCACAGTAAAGGTGCATTTTATATAATATTAGATTAATGTAAATTTACTATAAAAACTTAACTCCCAAAAAGTTAAATGTTAAAATCAATGTACATCCTAAACTCAAGCATGATTTATGTAATTGATTTTTTTTAGTTAAACCAGCAATAAATATCAAAGATTTATTTTATCAGCCAGCAAGTATAGGGTTAGGTGTTTTTGTTTTGTGTTTTTTGTTTTGGTTATTTTTGCTTTCAACTTCTGTACCATGGAAAGATTTAATTGGAATGATGATTCTCCGTGAAAGATTATAAGTAATAATTATGGTTTGCCTATGTCCCTTCTCACCTCTACATTCATGATTAATTTTCTGTTTAAGTCAAAATATATTTTAGATGTAAAATGTATTATTTACTGACCTTGCTCTGGCTATCACAATGCTTAAGTTTCTATTATTACATTTTCTCTTAGGAAAATTCTAATTTGCTTAAGAACCAAACAAATTACAAGAAAATGTGAAAGGATGAAATAATGAAAATTTTTCTGATCAAAATAAACAGTGTATCCTTAGATTAATTTAATATAAATAGTAACATGATAATATATAAAGAAAATTAATTACAACAAGAAAATATAACTAGAACAGTATTATAACTCATTGTTCATGGTGCGGTCAATAGTTCATTTTGAAACTTTTCAGGTGTGTGTGTGTGTGTGTGTGTGTGAGAGAGAGAGAGAGAGAGAGAGAGAGAGAGAGAGAGAGAGAGAGAACAGGGCATCATGTGAAATACCATTCTTGCTATGAATCATTTCCCCAAATGTTTGCCACACACCAAACCATATGATCTCTTTTCAAAGTTAAACTATTTCATACAGTAGGAAGTGAGAGAAGATACTTTGAAAAGTTGTTTCACATCTTAGAGTATCTCCTGCACTCTTTGTACATTCTGGATAAGTATTATTAACGATAGGATTTTTTCTCATAATTCAGTAGGCTCCTTTATTGGAAAGACATAGCACAATGCTAACCTATAGGTAGCTTGTTATTGTTACCATGGTTTATTATTATTTTAAATATCTGATACCTATGTTCAATTTTAAACACTGTAGGATGCAATTAGCAAATGGAAAACATCCCAGCATAATGAAGTTAATGGAGTTGTAGTTAAGCAAGGATAATTTCAAAACCTCAAGGTGAGTCTAGAATTCTTTGGGTATCAGCTCACCAGCTCTGCCTGTCCACTTACCAGCAGAACACAGACCAACCATCCACTTGAGGGCCAGGTCCTTCAGCTCTCTCAACAACCCTCACATAATGATTTATTTCTACACGTGAAACATGCAGACAGCTGAGTGTATCAGGCCTACTCCTGTGATGCCTATGGCCTTTCTGGATTTTTATTGGGAACACTGAACATTTATTGGATCTTTCTTGCATATGATTATCATCTTTGCATATCTTTTATTCAATTCTAAAATTACTAAACATGGTCTTTGATATCTGCTCAATGAAATTAGACTGTTTAATAGTCCTAATTGCAAGCCTCTGTCTGCAGGTGGGCAGTCCTTAGCCTGATAAGAGGCTGATTTTTTGTTTTTGTCTTTTGATGTTTAAAACATTTTTAGAATTCTCTTATTCTTTGGAATTTAGGAAAGTCCTTTACATTTTCAGTTAAAAGAGTAAAGTCCATATTCATCAGTAATCAAATTGATGCTTCCAAAGGAGCATTTTCATTTTAAAAGGATTTTTCAAATCATGTAGGAATTTTAGTGAAACCATCATGTGAATGATGATAACGATGCTGTATTTTGCCACTTTATTTTCCTTTGATGATTATTGGAGAATTTTTGAACTAACATCTCTGGAGACAAAGAAACTACCTTAACATGGCTGCTACCTTATCAGAAAACTCCCAATTTTTTTTTTCCTTTCCCTTCCCTTATTGTAAGTAACTTTTCTTTTACCATGAAAGACAGGACGAAAACAGACACAGGTATACACTTGGGGGATTACAGGAGCCAGAAAATAAGCTTCATTCTAAAATAAGAGCTTCATTCCAAAACGAGTGGCACTTCTCTCATTTTTAAAGATTGCTTCTTATTTTATTCATATGTGTGCGCAAGTGTTTTGTGTGAGTGTATGCCACGTATTTTCAGGTGCCTGAGAAGGCCACAAGAGGGCCTCAGATCCCATGGAACTGTAGTTACAGGCAGTTGCGATTTTACCACTTTACAATACATTTTTACCAAATTTAAATAGCACGAATTCTTAACCTCTGAGCCGTCTTTCCATACCAGTGAAATATTTCTTGCCCTTGTTTTTTAATTTAGTTAATAATGCAATAAATAGTAAACTTTAAATTTTTCCAGCAATCAACTTCTCTTAAAATGTGTGTTTTGGTGTGTGTGTGGGGGGGGGGGGGGGCTTGTGATAGAGGAGGATTTTAGCAATCACAAAGTTAGTGTTTAGAACGTCAAGTTACCAAGATAGTTAATAACTTTCATCATCACTAAGCTGGCTTAGGGTCTTCAGCACCATGAAATAACTCCAATACTGATGTTTTCTTTTGATGTTATTTGAAAACTACCATCATTTATAAAATGATTTACAAGAACCATAGGAAGATAACAGACATTACAACATACCAAGTCAGTTTAAATCCAAAAGTCGTGGTGTGTGTGCATGTGTATGGGAGAAAGAGAGTGAATGAGAGAGAGGAAGAAATAGAGATAGAGATACAAAGACAGAGACAGAAAGAGAGAAAGAGAAGGAGAGAAATGAAAAACATTAAGTTAATGAAAATAGATATTGATTGGGCGATTTTAGTTCAAATAAAAAAAAGAATCATTAAAAGATATGGTATACCTCAATAAAACATTTTTAACGAGAAGACAGAGAAGACATACATTGTATTTTAAAATGTAATGTAATATCATATGATCTCATCAGGATATTTTCATAGGTCCTCACATTTTTCCATTGTCTGTAAACTCACAAAACTTTGTACAGAGTTGAAAGTGTGGTGTATTGTCTAATAAGACAGATGCTCATGGCCAAGTTCCCAACACCTCAATGAAAAAAGGTGCAGAAAATACTCACTTCAAAGGCACTTCACTGATTCTAAATTGCAATTTGCTTGCAATTTTAGTGAAGAGAAATATGTGGAAAATTGAGTGGCACTGTCAGTGGATCATGTAGAGAAATGAAACATTCTGTACTTGATAAAATCATTTGATAATGGTAAAAATTGTGCTGCTGAGTCCAGGTATTGCTCCTACTATGGAAGTGAGTCTCAGGAAAGAAATAATGTTGTAGTGTCAAACATTGGCAGGGACATTAAGAGGTTTTTAAATTTTAGGTGTCAAACATAGGGAAATACACACACACACACACACACACACACACACACACACATATATATATAACAATTTGGGGGCATTTGTGTGTAGTATACATTCTTGTTATCTTGGTGTGTGGGTGTGTGTGCATATTTGTGGGTGAAAACACATGTGTAGATGTTTAAGGTCAACACAGGTTATCATTTCTTTGAACAAGGCCACTCACTGAATGTGGAGCTCCCCCGTCAGCTGTGCTAGCTTGCCCACCAGCTCCAAGGAACTGTCCTTCTCCTTTCACCTCCTCCTACTAGTGCTGCAGTTAAGACCTGATGTGTTGTGTTGACTACTTCATGGATCCCGGGGACTCACACTGAGGTCCTTATGTCTGTGCAGCAAGTACTGTACCCACTGATTCACTTTGTCATGCCCCCTAAAGAAACAATTTCCAACAACTCTTTTATAGAGAAGAGTGTGTTGCATTATCACATGAGATAGTAATAAAGGAAGTAAACACTGAAAATACCGAATCACCATTAAAATTTGCTCTAATAACCTAAACATTGGGCTATTATAAAGTTATTGTGACTTTATAGTTAGGGTAGCATTGTAACATACTTTTCTTTCAGACAAGACTAATGAAAATAGGGAATAGGGGAAGAGTATAAACAAATTTAAGGATCCCAGTAGATCCTAATGTCTCACTGGTAGATGGTCATTTACCTGATGATGGACAGGACAGAACAAAGGTGAGGGTTTGCTTTCTTGAAGTTAAATGGGCTTGTTTTCAATGAGACGCCATGAAAGAAAAGAAAATGTCAATAAGAACATAGTCTTGTTTGCAAAAATAATTTCTAATCTTCTCTTTTTCTTGAGTAGCTACTCAAGAAGCAACTTAGGAATACCAAAAAAAAGAGAAGAAAATACAAAAATAATATAAAATAATTTCACAGTTTTCCTGGGAGCAAATGATAGCCTAAATT